ATACACCTCCTCCGCTTCCCATTGACGATTAAGCTCGATCTCCAAACCTCTAATGGTGTCCCAATCAATCGGTTGAGCCAATTTAATCCGCTCTATCTCCGCCTGGAGAGTTTTGATATTGCGCAAAGAGTTCGTGGTGCCAGCCCTACTCCAATCATATAATAGATGTCGGAGCTTCTTAAGGCGTTCCCAAAGCTGAAACATAGGGGTGCCTAGGATCTCCTCTTTCCAGACATAATTAACCATAGCCTTAACCTCTGGATTATCAGCCCAGCGTGCGTCAAATCGAAAGAGAGGGCGGCTGTTACGAGCATACACCTTGTGAGAGAGGAGAAGGGCACGGTGGTCCGATCCCTGATCCGTGAAATGCTTAACCAGGGTTTTGGGAATTGATCAATCCAGGATTGAGAGCAGAGAGCCCTATCCAAGCGTTCCCGAATACAGGCCGCACCCATTCTTTTATTCGTCCAAGTGAACATATCACCCTGGTACCCTGGATCATGGAGGCCAAGCTCCTGGATAAAATCACGCAAACTAAGCGCTTGGGTGGCATTCCACACCAACCCACCATCATTCTCACTCTCATGGAGAGTAGTATTAAAATCACCAATGACAACAAAGGGATGGTGGAAATGTTCACAGATTTCACGCAGTTGCGCTAGCTGAGTTTCTCGAATTGTCGCGTTACAGCTAATATAAACAAAAACCACAACATAAGAAAAATCGATTTCATTAACTTGTATGCAAATACAGAAGCTCGAATGAAAAAACACCGAAGCATCAACTCCGGGGGACCAAGCAACTACTAAACCACCAGATGCATCAATTGCATCAACAAAGAAACAATGGGAATGATGAAAACCTAGCCCCCGCATACGGCGGGTCACTACTCTCCGGCTCGATCGTGTCTCAGAGAAGAACACAAGATCCGGTTTATTGGAATGAATCAAACCTACAACAGTTTGAAATGTGAGTGATGGTCCAATTCCCCTCACATTCCAGGCCAGAAGTCTCATTTATCACACTGGGGCCATTCAAGGTTGGCTTCCTCCTCTTTTTTCTCAATATCAGTAATCTCTACTAATTGTTTTTTCGGAGTAGGAGGATTTCCCCCATCCCCATCCAACATTTCCAGTGGCCTTTTTCGGTTCCCAAAATTAGGGTCCAATAAATTTGACCCATACTCATTCATCTGGGCCGAAGCCACTTTGCAAAACTGATGAACTTCTTCTTTATTCACCATAATGGGCGAGTTACATGTTCTATGATTCGGAGAAGCTCCCCCAGTCGGCTCAGCAATCATTTCTCCCTCAAATGCCGCCACGATTTTGCCCACTTGGCCTGATTGTATTGGTGGGGATCGTACGGGAGGAGAGGGAGGCGAGCGCCTCCTAATTTCAAACGCCTCAGTAGCATCAGGGGAGGAATCACCCTCCGAGTCCAAGACCCCTTCCGGTGGGCCAAGATCCAAATCCGCCAAGTCCTCATCCTGTCGGCCCACTTCAGCTCTCGCCTCCGCTTTGTGGTTGGGCTGGGCTCCTAACTTGCGAAGACGTTGGCTAGCCCGAGTGGGAGCAATAGACTGCTTCTTCCCCAGCTGAGCCGTCTCATCCACGCCCCCTGTCACAAGCCCATGTGAGGCCTCCTCCGATATGGTCAGTCCCGGGTTTGAGGCCCAGTTGACTTTTGTTCATGCATGGGAACCGAATTGGGCCTAGGCCCAACAACCTTCTTCTTCATTCCGTCCTCCACCTCCTCCTCGGATTCGTCTTCCAAGATAAGACGACGCATCCGAGTCTGAGCAAGGGTGGTAGTTGTCTCAGTCGGCCCCTCCCTGCGCCTCTGATCCGTTCTTGGCCTTCTCTCTGCCGTCACCGCATTTTTCTGGGTTTTATTGGAGGCGACGCGCGGAGACCTCTTCCCCTGAGCTTTGGTGCCGCCCTGTCCCAGCTGGATCCGCGGTGAGGTGCGCAGTTTGAATACCCTAGGGCTGTCACGTCGCCTGTTCACTTTCTTTTCCCCCTCCCGTCCCTTTTGTTTGGGCTCTTGTGGCAGAGGGTTATTCTCTTGACAGAGGCGTGAACGAATTTCAGGGTTTGTTTGGGTCGGCCGAACCTCGTCAGTGTGATCACCACCTGCCATCCGCCCCTCCTCTTTCTGATCACGAATGGTGCGGTTGACCCAAACCGTGCTACGATCCTGGCGGAAGTTTGGACCATCATCATCATTATCATAGAGCTTATGCCCAAGCTTCTTTATGGACATATGTGGGCCGAAGCGCTCCTTCCTTTGAGGTGGATCGAAAGAACAATCTGGCTTTGTGTAGCCCACTCGCCGCAGTAGGAGCAAAAACTCGGTAGGAACTCATATTTTAGGCTAACCCAGAAACACTCAATCTCTTCACTAGCGGCCATGATTTGCGATCGAAGGGGCTTGGTGAAGTCAATGAGTGCTCGAATTTTCACAAAGCACTCATTAGTGTCCTTGGAAGCAAAAACCCCAGTTTCCAGGACCTTCCCAATAGTGCCACTGGCCAGTTTCTGCCCAAATTGCTTGGTGCAGCAATCATCTTTAACGTTCCAAAGTTGCACGCGAAACAGCGCTACGGCTAGTTCCTCAAAGGTAAGCTTAGTGACTCTAGATGACCAGGATCATAGATGGAGGATCCGATCCATCACCACCCACGTAGTCCTTTTGAGAGCCCAAATCCTCGCTTCATCAGTCGGCAGGACTATCTCCAGGAGACTAAACTTCGATATGGAGACCCGAATTTGGCCCTTCACCTGCCAGGCAACAACCAACGCATCCCGGAGTTCCGTAGGGTTCACGGGGTGCTCAGTGAACAGCCTGCCCAATAAGGTCCGAGAAGTTCTAAACTTCATCGATTGGACTTCAGCAAGGGAGAATTGGACCACCTGATCATTCGCAACCTGAGACATAGTGTCGACCTGAAAAACAGGAAGAGGAGCCAAGTTACACGAAAGATGATCAATGTTGTGGTTCCTTCCTTCCGATCGGGGCGAGGAACGCACACATGGGGAAGGGCGATTAAGATTTTGGAGCACGGGATCAGGGGGAGCTGTCAAGCATAGTCCTACTGGCGGGAGTTGAGGCGGAGAGCCATTACCTGTAGGCTTTGCGACAGTTCGAGTCTGTTTATGGGCGATCTCAACTCTCGGCTTTCTCGATAGCACGTCTTGGCTTTTACACTGACCAAGCGTGTTTGGATGAGTAAGAGTAAATATATAGCTGGGGGGTTGCTTAGGGCCCAAACAGAGACGTGAGGATTTCCTCTCCAACTTGTTCCGAAGAGATGGTTTGGGAATAGGAAACCCTCTTAGAAGATTAACTTAAGATATTCTGTTACGAAATTGTTTTTCAAATCGGAAAAAATATTCCCCGATCCCGCTCCAACTGAACGGGAAATTCGGAAGAGATCTGCCACAGTCTGTCCCTTCTATCTCTAGATCGGGTGCTCGATCTCTGACAACATTCTTGGACATTTTGTGATAAGAACACATCACAAAAGTTGCATTTTATCACAAAAGTATTGTCGGAGAGGTGGTTCATTTGTAACAACTTAAATTGATCACAGTTAAATTTCATTTGGTGACAATACAAACTCGTCAAAAGTGTATAGTATTCGTTACAAGGAAATTTTGTCACGATTGAGTATGTCTTATGTGACGACAAATCTTGACACAAACAAAACATATAATGTTGGTTATACTTGTCAAAAATTGTTGCGTAAAATAGTGTTGCATATGGGTAAAAAAGTGTTATCTATTACTTTAGGTAACACCACCTATAGGTGACACTACGAAAAGTGTTGCATATTGCATATACAACACTTTCGAGACTTCTTACAACACATTTCATGTGTTGGCAAATGAAACTTTTCCCATAGTGCATGATAGTGATTACAAAACGGATATAATAACCAGATTTGAAATGAGCTCTTATTTAAGCAGTAGGAATTGAATTAGAATGGATTCTCTTGTGGATTTTTATTTGAGATGGATGAGATCATAGGAGAGCATGCATGTATGTGCTGCCTAGTTTTCTGCAGGATTATGCTCAGGTGTGGCAGGGGAAGTAACTGGGTTTTGTCCTCAAGAATGCATGTATTTTGCAGGAATAGGCTAGGTTTCTGTGTTGGGTAACCTGTCTAGCGTTCCCCTCCTTTAGTTCAACAACTTGCTGTTGTAACTGGGATATTTTTATCAGAATTACAACAATTGCAATGGTCGTCCTTCAACAGCTTTCCGTAGTGATGGCAATTTGAACCCGCCCCGCGGGTATTATCCGACTTGATCCACATTGGGGCGGGTATTACCCGACCCACAGTAGTTTGGGGCAGGACATGTGTATCAATCTCCGATCCGCCCCGCCCCGCCCCATTCTTGGCCCATTTTATCTCAATTTCTTATGATATCTATACATATTTCTCATATGGCTAAATTACATGTTTGGTCACTCAGATTAAATTAAGATTTCACGTTCTCCATCCGAATCATTTTTATTTCTTATTCGCCACTAACTTTATAAATCGTTTCACCATTAGCACCGGCCGTTAGTCTCCGTCAGACTCCGTCAGTTTTTTGATGAGGTGGCAAACAGAATTGCTGACTGGACCGTTAATTTAATGACATGTCAATTAAAAAAAAATTAATACGGCCATCGGAGTGCCCAACACCACCATGAACTTCCTCCACCAAAAACCGCAAACTGCTGAATCGTCTGCGGCCTCCTCCTGATCGGTGGCTACCGGCATTCCTCTTCTTCCCCACGGCGGCCGCCGAAATCTTGTGAACCCACGACCACCTCCATTTTCCTTGCCTAAGTCACTCAAATTAATACCCACTCTCCGCAACCTGAAAACCCACAAATGCAACCCTGATTAAGAGCATACCGACAGTGAGAGAACTGTGAAATGGCAAATGGATAGGTGAAATGGACGTTGAATTCATACCTGTAGGTGTAGGTAAAGCAGAAGAGGGATGCGTGTCTCCTCTACTTTGGCAGCAACAGAGAGACAAGTGACGGTGGGGAGTTGGGGAAGGATTCCAATCCAATCCACGACCTCCTCAAGCACACTCAGATTTGGCCCAGATTCGAGCTCTTTGTACAATGGTTCTCCTCTTCTTTACAACAGAAAGCAGAGCAAGAATCTGGTCGTTCTTCATCATCTAGTTAGGTGTCAAGTCGTGGTACTGTGGAAAGATGAGCGAATACGAGTGGCTCTGCTTCCGAACTTGAAAGCACAACGGGAGACGAAGGTCGCACAGTCTGACGCCATGCCGAAATGCGATATCTGGATGCTCAGCAGAGCTAGGAACTTGATGGAGGATCAACTTCTTGAGTTTGCCGTGGTCCGATTTCCGGGTCATCGGGGAAAGGCAAGTATCCTAGGATTATAGCCTCTCCTCCACCGATCTGTTCCATTCCCCAGCCGGAATAGTGAAATTGACCCTCTCTTTATCGCCTTCGGTCCCTCGCGCATCCGGGGAGAGTACTAATTGCTCAATTTCATCGGAGGTAGTGCTGCTCAACAGGAGGATCTCGGAAGTGGTCACTCTGGACCCGGTGGAGTATTCCAGGATCGAATAACTCGATATCGGAGCTGCGAAGCAGAATCAGGAGATGGTTATAGAGTATTTCCATCAAAAGCTGGGATTATTTCTCCATCTCGGGAACTCCCCTGTTCTTCACCATTGAGAAATTACCTCCGCCGACGGTGGTTTGATTTCTCCCGCCGGCAGCGTTCACCCCTCGGCTGGGTTCCTCAGCTCTACAACGACAAGCTTTAGCGACGATAGGAATTCCTCGGATTCCAAGGACAAGAAGGGCGGTAACGGCGGCGGAGGGGGGCGATCATCATCGTCGGCCTACCTAAACGTCTCTATTCCCGGCGAAGGCAATCAAAGATCATCCTCCTCCGTCGGGTACCCCGACACACCTACGTCGAGGAAAAGGAGCGAAATCAGAGACCTTATGCCAGGTAGAGAAGTTTCCCTTTTTTTTGAAAGGGAGAGGGGAAGTTCACGGTGGTGCTGGGCACTCCGAAGTCCGATCGCTGTGTTAATTATTTATTCTTTATATTTTTAATTGATATGTCATTAAATTAATGGTCCAGTAAGCAACTCCGTTTGCCACCTCATCAAAAAAACTGACGGAGTTAACGGAGTCTGACGGAGACTAACGACTAATGCTAACAGTGAAACGATTTATAAAGTTAGTGGCGAATAAGAAAGAAAAGTGATTCGGGTGGCAAACATGAAATATTTATATAATTTGAAATATAATTTGAGTGATCAAACGTGTAATTTAGCCTTTCTCATAATTTGACTTTTTTCAACTAGTTAGAGTCGATCTTTCAACTTGTTATACTCAATTACCCATACTATTATCACTATTTTTCATTCATAAAGTGTTTTCTCCTTTATTCGTAAAAAGCAAAATTTACGTGTATTTTTTTTAAATAACATGTAAGAGTGGGTAGACCACCCCCATACCCGCACAGATTTTACCCGTCCCGACCCGTAATAGCGTGGAATGGAACATGGGTATTGAGGTACCAGCCCCGCTCCGTCCCATTGCCATCGACCACTAGGGCGTGGATTCATTGAATCCGTAGATTTTGTAGAAAGTTTTTTTTTTGTTGCCTTTTGTATTGTGGATTTTAGCTTTAGAGATTTCAAACCTCTAAAATCTATGGATATCAAATCTCTCATAAATAAAGATTTTAATATTTCTCGAACTACTCTAATTTTTTTATTAAGGATAAACATGTTATTTAATATAAAAATTTTATTTTTATTTTCATTGAATGTTAACAATCACAGTTACCAAACAATAAACATTTTAAAATCTATTTTCAACAATCCGAAGAGTTAGAATCTTTAGATTGTTGACAATCTATAGATTTAAACTCAAATTCTCCAAACGACCCCTATGTTCGAGCAGCAATGGTTGTGATGGGGTATTTAATTAAAAAAAAAAAAACAAAACAACAAGCCGGGGTATTAACTAGGGCTGTCACTCGGTCGGTTTCGGTTTAACCGAAAACCAAATTGTCGGTTATCGGTCATACTGAGACCTCAACCAGAGCTGCCACCAACCGACCGTCCGTGCGCCTCGGTTAGCCGCAAACCGACCGGCCGGTTTCCGGTTTCGACTCGGTTAGCCGGCCAACCGGAAACTACTTTTTCTATAAAAAAAAAAATTAAAAGCAACAAAAAATCTGCACCACTCACTCCTAACCTAACCCCTCCGTTAATCGATTCTTCTTCCCCTCCGTTTTCTCGATTCTTCTTCCCAGACTATCTCTCTCCCTACTCTCTCTCTCGATTCTCTTCTTCCTTTGGAAGGAAAATCGAAAAACCAACTCCGCCACCGAGATCCCGAAATCGCCTCCTCCCTCGATTCTCTCTCTCGATTCTGCTGGTGTTGGCGGCGGGACGACGAGCTGCTGCTGGAGACCTGGAGTTCGACGAGCTGCTGGAGACCTGGAGTGCTGGGCGAGGTGGAGGCGCTGCTGCTGCCTGGCTACTGCGGCGGGGCGTCGAGGTGGAGTCGGCAGGGCGGCGAGGTGGAGGCGCCGACGATGGTGGAGGGGAAGGGCTGTTCTCTGTGATGGGAAGGGGTGAAGGGGGAAGTGGGGCGGCGTCGGTGGAGTTCGATTGCGAGGGTGGAGTGGGCCGTCGGCGAGCCGGAGGCGGCGACGATGGTGGAGGGGAAGGGCTGTTCTGGGTTCTCTGTGACGGGAAGGCGAGAAGGGGGATGTAGGGCGGCGTCTCGGTGGAGGTCGATTACTCGGTTGATTTGGGAGGGCCGAGGGTGGAGGCTGGAGTTAGGGTTAGTGCTGGGCGGCGTCGTTTAAGGGGGAAGGGAAGGGGTTGGTTAGCCGGTTAACCGCCGGTTCCGACCCCGGTTAGTCGGCTAACCGCCCCCTACTAGTACCCACCGCCAACCGACTGTTGTCATTGGAGTCAGTTTTTCGGTTAGCCGAAAACCGGTCGGTTCGGTTGAAATCGTCCGGTTAACTGCTAACCGGAAAACCGTCCGCCACCACTAGTAATAACTATAGAGCATAATGGTCTCTTCTGACTTCTTCTTAAGAATAACAAAAGACAACCCATCTAATTTTAACCATCCAAACAAATCAATTGTTTCCTACATTTTCTCAAATACCACATAATGATAAAACTCGTCCAAAAAACCCTTCTAGGATAAAAACACATTAGCAAAATTTGAAGGAAAGATGAAAACCTCTATAGAGTAAGTCAAATCTAAGAGGTACTTACAAGAGATGAATATTACCATTGTTGGTGTATTTCGATAAGGTCGACTTTGCCTTCAGGGCAAGATTTAATCTCTTGTGATAGAGATTTCTAGCACCATAGTTGTGCTTTTTTGGTTAGTCATTTTGCAGGTGGTTATTTGGTATGAGAATAATTGAAGTGCAATAAGTTTCATCTATCTATCTATAAGGTGATTGTTCGATTTTATTCACTTTTATAAAATTTATGAGAGTAATTAAGCATGCTATATCCAATATTGCTAATGTCCTTTTCTTTTATTTGTTGTGGCTTTTTGGGGCAACTCGATACTGGTCATCCGGCATACTCCGTCGAAGGAAACTACACTCGCTGGCGGGACTATCTTGGAGATGTTTTTTTAGTTTTGTTTTTTTTCCGTCAGTGTCGTGTCTTTGCTCCTCGGAGCTTCTTCAGAGCTGCCCATGTAGTGGCTTATCACGCTCTTTCAACGTAGTCCGGTTGCATACGGACTATCGTGCAATTTTTGAGCTAGTGTGTAATTGTGTCGAGTCTTTGTCCCATGCCATTTGGGCTTGCCTTGGATAAAAAAAAATCTAAGAGGTACTTATCGATAACATTTGTCACATTTATGAGAGACATTCACATGTACACAAGAGTCAAGAAGCTTCTCATTTATGCTCCATCATTTGTACTAATTTTAACTCTCTTACCAGCAACCACATCTATTAATATTGGATTCATCTAATTATGGAAAAAATCCAAAAGTACCACTGTTCAAAAAAAATTACAAAACTATCACCCATGTACGAAAAATTCCAAAAATACCACCCTTTCTCGAAAATTGCTGGGTGGGGGTGCAATTTTTGATGAAAACCACACGGGTCGGGGGCGATTTTACGAACCGCATGGGGGCCGGGGCAGTTTTTTGAAAACCGCACCCCCACCCGACGGTTTTCAGTATATATATTTTTTTATCCATATAAATCTCATAAGTGGACTTGACACAATTGGTTTAGTTGTTTCCTTGTGTACAAGATGTCCTAGGTTTGAATCACCATCATTCCTATTAAATCTTTTTATTTAGTAGAGATTAAAAATAGTAGCAATGGTGGTTCGAATCCAGATTCATTAAATAGTTAACTAAATTCAGCCCAACATCTAAACCACCACACTACAACACCTCGACTGAAACAATTATATATTAACAAAGTTTTAATTATTGAACGCTAAAAATCCTCAATAATGGTTGGATGACCATAACTTTGTGCTTCAAAGTCCGAATGTCATAATTTTTTTTTTGATTCCGCATAACTTTTCAATTACTACAACTTTTATCATAGCCATAATTTCGAAATGTACATGGATTTGTGAAAAGTAAAGGTAAAGTTATTCCCAAGATCCCGTATATCCAAAACTAATTCCTGTTTTGAAATTTCATCCTAGTAAAACTTGTAGATCTTAAAAAGTTATGCGAAATGAAAAACAATTTCATGACTTTCGGATTTTGGAGCACAAAGATATGGCCGCCCAAAGTTTGAGGAAATCGAAAAAGCTCGTTCGGGGTAGCAAATGAGGTTTTTTCATGACGAAGGCGGGACTACGACGATTTGCAGCTTGCAAGATCTCAAAAAATTATGCGGATTCAAAAAAAAAAAAAAACGCTACGATCGGATACCCGAGTGCAAAGTTACGTTCGTTTCAAGTTTCGGCTGAAGTTAGGAGTTGATCGGAAAACAAAATGGACCAAAATCGCAGGGTGGGGTGGCGGTTTGGCCCAAAATCGCCGCCCCAACCAGTGGTTTTCAAAACCGCCCCGTAACCTAACGGTTTTTGTCGAAAACCGCGCCCCCATCCATCGGTTTTCTATAAAGTGTGGTATTTTTGAAATTTTTTGGAGTTGGGTGGTATTTTTATAATTTTTTTAAACAGTGTTATTTCTGTAAAAAGTCCATCCTCTAATTATATAATGATGTGTTGAGTAATGTGTATGGGCTTCGGCCCACATCCCTAGTCACGGATGATTAGTGTAAGTGACTTAGGGTTAGCCGAGTATTGGTCTAGGGTTAGAGACCCTAGCTTGTATATATATGTATGTACGTGAACCTGTGAAGGTTAAGCTGAATAATACGATACTATAGCTTCAGCCGTGGACTAGTCTCGTTCATACTGAACTGGGAAACCACGTAACTCCTGGTGTCGATTTACTCTTTCTGTTTCGATATATTGTTACGATTAACATGGTATCAGAGCCTATGTCTTCAGATCAGATTACCGCACCTTTGAACTCCAAGAATTATGCTGTCTGGGAGTTTCAATTTCGGACGTTAATTGAGGGGAAAGGTCTACTGGGATGGCTTGATGGGACAGTGGCTCGTCCAACCTCACCGCCGGCAACCGCACAAGAAGTACAGCAGTGGGGGATGAACGACGCTAGAGTCCGAACTCTTCTACTCAACTCTGTCGACCCTACTATCCTCCTGGGTCTGCGTATGCTGCCCAGCTCCGCCGCTATGTGGACGTATCTGGCGGATACCTATCGCACCGTCACTGCATCTCGTCAATACGAGATAGAGGTCAAACTCTCTCGCCTCTTTCAAGGGAATCTGGACGTGACTTCCTATTATAATGCCGCTTGGAACCTGTGGACCGAACAAGACCTCGTCTTGGCCGGTCTTCTTTCATCAGCTGCATCAGCTGAAGTTAAAGCCGAGAGGGAGAAGATGTGAACTATGCAATTTCTTATGCTCCTGAATCCCGAATATGAAACCATTCGTGCATCCTTGCTCAACCGTGAAAATCTCAAACTTGAAGGGGTTCTGGGGCCATTAATTCAGGAGGAAATTAGGCTCCGAACACAGGCAACCTTGGATACTAGGCCCGGTGCTGCTGATAGTGTATCTGTTTTCAGCGTGGCACCAAACCAGTCCCGCCCGCCGCCGTCTGCTGCCGCTGCGGGAACATGAGGCACTCAAGGGAACTCCTCCAGCTCACGGGACGACCCTGGTGACTCCGCCTATGCTGCCTACCGCACCTCCTTTCAGCGTCGAGTTTTCGCTGCCGATGTCGAATGCTTCCATTGCCATGAAAAAGGGCATACGAAGAAGTACTGCAAGAAGAGGAATTTTTGCCACTGTTGCAAAAAGACTGGACATATCATCTCAGCTTGTCCAGCATTGGAGGGTCGATTCCGCGAAGACGATGGTCGCAGGAATGGTCGATCTCGCGATGATGAAGGTCGCGGGAATGGAGCTTCGTCTCGGAGAGGCTCCTCTGCACCGCGTTCTGCATATGCTGCGCAGGTTAGTGGTGACTCCCAAGGCATACTGGTGACTCCCGCAGCTCTTGAGCAAATGGTTAACAAGGCGATTTCCACTGCCTTTGCTAGTCTTCAGGTTTCCGGTAAGATCCCTCACTGGATAATTGACTCTGCTTGTTTTAATCATATGACTGGTGATAGTTCTACGCTTCAGCGATTACAGCCTGTGAATGATCTATCTCTTCAAGTTGCTAATGGTGAGAAGTTAAGTGTAGCAGGCATGGGCACAGTTCATGACTCTAATGTTGTTTTACCATCTACGTATCATGTGCCGAAGTTGGTGCCTAGTTTGGTTTCTGTAGGTCAGCTTACTGACCAGGGCTATTGTGTTACTTTTGCACCCTCTGGCTGTGTTATTCAGGATCAGAAGACAGGGAGGGAGATCGGTAGGGGCAGCAAGACGGGGCGCTTATTTGTTCTTGACCAGCTGCGCCCCACATCGTCATTGTCATCACCAGCCACCTTCTTTCCTACAGTGTTTTCGAGTCTTCCTGATAAAAATTTTCAATTATGGCATGCTCGATTAGGCCATCCAAACTCTAGTAGACTTATGACAATGTTTAAACAGCAGTTATTTGGGGATAACACCCATGGTCAGTGTTCGTCGGATTTTTCATGTACTAGTTGCATTGAGGCTAAGACTACGAGAATCTCTTTTCCTTCTAGTCTTACCATTATCTCTGAGCCTTTTGATTTGATCCACACTGATCTATGGGGGCCTAGTCCTACTACTTCTCTACTGGGTTATAAATATTTTGCTCTGTTCATTGATCATGCTACTAGGTATACATGGGTGTACTTTCTTCGCCTAAAGTCTGATCTCTTGACTGTTGCCACCGAGTTTCTTGCTATGATTAAAACCCAGTTTGATAGAACTGTTCATGTAGTCCGTTCTGATCCAGGAGGGGAGTTTAGTTCTGGTCCCTTGTTACAACTTTATCGTGATATGGGGATTTTGTCTCAAAAATCTTGTCCAGGGGTGTCTCAACAAAATGGGGTCGTTGAAAGAAAAAATTGTCATGTGTTAGAAGTCACTCGTGCTCTTCTGCTTTCCTCTTTTGTCCCATCGTCTTTTTGGCCTGAAACTGTTGCTACTGCTGTGCGTCTTATCAATTATCAGATTACACCAATTCTCGACCAAACTAGCCCTTACTTCCGCCTGTTTTCCAAACCTCCACCATATTCCCGCC